GTAGAAATTTCAAGCTGTAAAATGCTTTTTTGTAACATCTCGATATGATCATTTTTGACGAAGTTGCTCTATTTTGAAGTTTGCCTATTTTTAGAGGCTAGAACAGGTGATCCTTTAATTTTTTGGACCAGTATATATGTTAAGAGTGCATTCTAATATTTACTGTTAGTACTGAAAATCTATAATATTTATGTAATGTGAAATAGAAGATTTTTAATACTGATAGTGATTATGGGTCTAAGAGTACAAAATATAAACTGCAAAATATTTTTCAAAAAGTAAATTAAAAATATAGTATAAAATAAGAAAATAAAAGCATAAAAAAGTGACGATAAAAATAACAGTAAATTCGTTATTGTAAAAATGTAGCAACGTTACTGTTATCGTTACAGAAAAAAGTAACGACCATTACTGAAAAAAAGTAACGAAAATGGTAACAGCTAATAAACTTATTGACGATTTCGTTGACAAACTATCTTTTACGAGAACTGCAAAAATTTGATGAAATTGTCTTCGCTTCTACCGTTAAAATCGCCTATCAACATAAACGATCGCACATCCCTTGGCGGAGAATTTGTTGCAAATGTACTCTAAACTTTTATATTGCGATAAATTAGCGAAGTAGACGTGGGTAGATTACGGAATCCGTCTGTCTTCGGATCACAATTTTGTCTCGTGGAATACGTTCTTGGCGGCGGTCTGAAAGGATGCGCAATACCCGGTAGGTGAAACGTTGATGCTAATTACTATCACATTGTACACGTCATTTCTACGCAGAGTCTGCTCCCTCGAGCGTCAGGAATCGAGTCGTTAAAATATCTCGAGCTGTATTGAATTAGCGATATTAATACAGAAAGTCTGGATAATAATAACAGTAAGAGACTTAGAACGGAATTACTGGGCACAATTATATGTTTAAAATTAATCTGAAATCATTAATAAAATAATAAATATAACTTCTAACGAAAGAGAAATCTCCTTGAAAGATATGTCGGAACTAAAATTAATTAAATAGCACTTAATTCCCTTTTTTAATCTAATGAAAAGTTAACTCTCCCACGAATAATTCTGTTTGAAGATATTTCTATTTGAGGATAAATGTAATTAAAAATAGCTCTTCCACTTTCCTGCTCTGTTATCGAATATTTACATTGTGAGAAACGCATATTTAATCGATTGAAGCATTATATCGTAGCTGTCGTAGCGCAACAATCTGTTGTAATAATTTCACGAATATCATTCTCGTTAATGAGCAGTACAAAGTCTGTTAATATCGTATCAATATTGGAACTTGTTTATATGCACAAAATACGCGTATGTATACAACACGCGTAAATTTCCTGTGTCCGTGAATATGAAACGCAGCTGACGGCTTGTGGATCAAATGAACGTTCATCCCGCTTGCTTGCAACATTCGCTTTCTAGCTCAACCGAAGAAGATAATTACCCGAAAAAGAGATTTACTGACGAAATCAAATACAGTATATAATTAACGTGTTAACATTTGCAAATTTAATAACAATAATTATCATGAATATGTTAATGTTAATTACGCTTATAATACACGGCATATGACTATCAAATATAGGTAAGGGGAGGGGGGGCAAATAGTGACGGATTTTTTCCTCTCTCCCCTACAAGCTAATTTCAAGTTTACAAGATATGATTTTTCACTAAAACAGTACTTTCCACTTTTAAATATACAAAAAACTTAATTAGAGTTTCCATAAGTTATGTATACGGGCTAGATTTTCATAAAAACTGAAACACACATTTGTCACTATTTGCCCCACCCTATGGGTAAATAGTGACATCCTATGGGACAATTACAAAATACATAATTCTTAGATCCTAATTGATCTTTCTTTTGACATTTTGATTAGATAAGGTAATTTATATTAATTTCTATACTCTACCATATGTAAACTTTTCATTATTGATGAATAATACACGCAAGAAAAAGATTAGCCAATAAAGCTAATTGGCAGCTAAGATGTGTCGTTGAAATAGGGACAGCTAATGTCGTTGCTGCCGAAGTTCAATATATTAGCTATTAAAATGTAGATGCTACAGCAAAAAATATTTGCTGTTAAAATCAAATTATATATTTAGTCGAATCTACTAAGCTATTTTATCTTTGCAATAGAGTAATATTATTTGCAGTATACAACTTATATACTGCAAAATATAAACGCTAAATGCGCTGTATAGATGTGCATATGGCAGTGCCACATTGCAAAAACAATTACAAATCAAATTTTTGCGCGTAGCTATAAACTTAGCTCTGTGTGCATGATAAGACATTTAGGTACGCATGCCATCTTTTTAGCTGCCTGTACTAATATATGCTTTTAATTTCAGTTAATAAATTTTTTGTCGCAGTAAATGTTTTTTTTATCTGTAATAGCCAGAACTTAGCAATGACATTAAGGCGATAGCTCTTATATCTAAGTTTGATTCAGCTATTGAAATTTAGCTACTATTACTAATTGTAAGTCATTTTTTTGCGTGTAGTAGTAACATTATTTGCTAGTATTTCTTATTGAAATTCACATTCATTCTGGATCTTGCCTTGTAACTAATCTCATATTATCCCAAATAAATTAGAAAAATATATTATATTTAAATATTAAAAAAGCTTTTTAACTTGTCATTATTTACCCAACTAAAAATTGTAATTATTGCCCAAGGAGCTACTTTTTCCTTTAAAACTTTACTGAGAGAAATAAAATAGATCGGAAGAGCACACGTCTGAACTCCAGTCAC